CACAAGGGGTTAAGACACAACCTATGAGGCAATCTGCAGCCTCTGCAGGACAAGTTCGATCCCTGGCCAGCCAGGGAGCAACCCACATGGCGCAGCAGACCTCTCCTGTCTCGCCCGCTGCTCCCCTCAGCAGTGTATTTCAGTCAGTCTGCCTATTGTGTTCCCCACTCTCTCTGGTGAATCCTCACCCCCGCCCCACACCTCTGGTCTGTACCCAGCTCTTGTATGCATAAATAAATAAATCTTTAAAAAAAAAAAAGACTGCACATGAACCTCTTCCCTTTGCTTTGTGGCAGCTAAAGAAGCAGGTGAGCCAGGTACACCTGGCTTGCAGAGTTTTAGTGAACTGAAACCGCTTGGGTTTATTTTCTAAAAATTACCTGTGGTCCCCTGATTTAATTAGTAGCTAAATTTGGAGTAAGTAAGGTTAATGATTTTCATGATGGTCTCCAAGCTATCTCTTACTTCATTTCATAGGAAATGACTAGTTTCTACTTTATAATATAAAGTTCAGTTCAGTTAAGCTGGGTTCTTTCCCCTCCATCTTAATTTTGAGCTGGGGCTCAAGGATCTGTTTTATTTCTCAGGCCTGGGCTTCCCATAATCGGGTATGTCATATTATATAGATCATTCTCAGTCTTACTTAATCAGATCCCTGGGAATTGCAGAAAAGGAAATTAGTGGCAATTTGAAGCCTGCATATTTTGGTAAGGAGATTTTGTTGACTTCATTAAATTAAAATTGTTGACTAATAGAGATATTTGAATCCTTGAATTAAGCTGATGCCTCATTTGCTGAATAAACAATGAGGGGGGATAAAAAGGTAGACTTGGTTTTTTTACCTTTGGATTTTTTAAACAATCACTCCCTAAGAGGGGAAGGTTACTTAAAAGTATGAAGGTGTTAATAAAAGACAGAAAACACTTTACTACTTTTATGGGAACCTGGATAGATTTTTACATCAGAACCTTTAAGGATCAAAAAGACCTTGCAGAGTTTCTAAGCGCAGTTCAGATTTCCACACAGTTCCAAAAAAGACTTACAGACACCCCAATTCCTATTGAAGAAATCTCCAAGCTTTCAAGTCTTTTAATAAAGGCAAGGCCCCCGGGAGAGGAGCCTCCCCATCCTAATTTCATACCCCTATTGAAGAACAGTTAGCTCCCCACGCCCCGTGTACATTTAATCATTCGTTGCACGGCCATTCACTGTCTCCCTGTAGGGAGAATACACCTCGCTACTCTAGTCATTTATTTCAGCCAAAGTGACAGTACTGAGGTGTGTAAAATTCATCCGAAAGGATTTGTGCATGCATCCTTTGCTATGTGTGTGCGTGTGCGCAAGCATGCACTTCAGGAAGCCAAATGCAACCGAATATATATGCTCAGGATAGAAAAAGACCTTCTATCTGTGTGGCAAGGAAAGCCATCACAGAAGAACTCAAGATTTAACCAGTTTAAAGTAATGAGTGTCAGGAAATCATATTTATATTAACTGAAGATCAATAACAAGCCTTGATTGCTGTTTGTATTTCTTAATGAACAGCTGACACCTGAAAATGCAACAACTCCTGGGCTGGCCGAGTCCAACAGGGAACTCCAGGAGTTGTGGTGTGAATGACTGTAAAGAAGCACTTAGCAAGTGGCTTACTCTGGGGGACATAGGTGCCCCCCCTTCCCTGCCTCTGTGCTGTTGCCTCGAATTGTTTCCTCCACAATCGCTATTTTTCCTTTGGGCCTCACCTATGTCCTAGGAAGCACAATGGATAGAGGGAGCAGCAGCATTCAAAGGACAAGGCCTGGTGGAGGTGGCTGAGCCTATGGAATTTCTACAGCATTGACTGCAGCTTAGAAGGCAAATGGGGTCCTCTTGCTTTTCATGATAGGAAGCGAGGACTCAAATGCCTGTAACAGACCAGGATACTAAGCCTGAGACCACTGCAAGGTTGAGAAAAATAAGCTGAGACTCCAAATTAGTGATGCTTCTGACTCCCAGCAAAGAAGTAAACACAAATTCTCCTTAGCGGAAAGCTTACTTACTCTGGGCCCTTAGAATTCCCATAAATTAATTCTAATCAATATGAATTGATACTATGAATCAGTTCACAACAAAGAGGTACTCAGATGATAAAATTATTGAACTAATCAGATTCAGAACTTTAAGGCTTAAGTGAGTTAACATACATAAAGCATTTCATGTAACATGGGTTACATAGTGACCTCAGGAACTGGTGGGGATGACCGTTTTTTGTCTTGTCAGCACTTCAAAATGAAGGTGGCAACAACTAGGTACTTACATGGATCAAGCTTTTGTACCTAATCTCAATGTCTTGGCAAGGCTGAGGTTCAGGGGAAGAAGGCATTTCTATACAGGTAAATAGAGAAGGCCTCTTCATCTTGAAATGGCCTTAGATGAAATCTCTTCTCCCCATGAAATGATAAGAGAGTTGGGTGATTGAATGACCATATGCACAGTATTGTTTCATGACCTTGGCCTCTCTGTGCCTCAGTTTCCTTATCTGTAGGAGGAGTATGCTAATAGTACCTTGCCCTTAGAATAGTGTCTGGCATTTAATTAGCACAGGGTAAGTGTTTGTTCAATAATCTTTAACAAAAGTTTCTAGTGGTGCACTTATGCAGCACTTGGCTGTGACCTCCTCAACATTTCCAACGAAGTTTGTTAAATTTCCATAGGGTGTGCTGATTGAATTCTCAGATGGTATGAATGTTGGATGATGATGAAACCATAAGCCACAAAAGCTAGAACAGAGCAGGGCTATGAAATGAAAGAAGATGAAATTTAGTTCTGGATAGAGATTTTTAAGGAAAAAAAATTTTCTTATATATATAACAGCCTGGCTTACCAAACTTTCTGTGGATAAGAAAGGAAAATTTAGTGGATGTCACGATCAATATCATTAAACAGTATGCCTAGTAACTGAGGCAAGATAACTGGAGTGTGTCCCTGATAAAGTCGTCTAGATAGACTCCAAGGGGTGGGCCAGCTTCCCCATCATAAGCCCTTTTGTCCCGTCCCCACCTGCCTCAGGTTTCTCACAAGCAGTGGTTCTGAGTAAGGATGGACTTCAGAGCACAGATAAGCAGCAAGGAAATGTGAGGCAGGAAAAAACCATATTTCCAAGTAACCTGGGTGACAGGACACAGTCTCAGGTGATTAGGGAAGATAGCGTCAAGATTGGTGAAGAAATAAAATCCGAAGTTTATCAGGGCATCTGATAATGGCTCACTATGCTACATACTTAAATAAATCCCCCTGTACTCATGATTGCTATAGGATTTATCTAATCTATTTCCTACTCCCAGGCATTTTATCAAATTTCTCCCCCTGACCCCCTGTAATAATCCCTGAGTCTGACAAAAGAAGGTGTTGTCATCCCACAGTACAGATAAGAAATGCAAGCAAAGCGAATTGCCCTGGGCGACACAGCACTGGAAATTCATCTGTTCTCGCAGGGCACTGCATGAGTTTTGGATGGAAGCATACTGGAGTCATATTATATCCCTCCCCCCCAAAAAAAAGGCTTATTTACCTTAATCTCTGGGAGAAAGATTAATTGTATTTTCCTTGGCATCTGCCAAAGATGTTGAGTAGGTTCTTTAGATTCTACAGGCATAAATAATCTAATCCTTTCCCAAATACTTGTGAAGCCTAATTTTGACCATTAGAAAGAAGCTGGAAACTAGCTTTAAAAAAAAAAAAAAAAAAGGCAAAAAAAAAGGCAAATATTTGTTTGCTAAAATCTCCAAGGAAAGCAATTAATTAAGAAAGTTGTATTGTACCACCAAAGGATTTCACATCACCTAGTACAAGGAATTACCCAAGTAGGCATAAATCCAGATGGCCAGCTCCCTCTGGCCCAGACCGCCATCCATTCCCAGCTCAAACTCTTTGTTTAGGGAGTGGATAGATAAAAACCAAGTGAAAGCATGTTTTTAACGCAAAGAGGTCCGTGTAAACATAAATGATTGTACCGATGAACGTTTCATCTAATTATTGAACAAATGTATGTTCATTACATAAGACTGGGAGACAAAGTAAACCCAAATGAACGTGAAAACACTCAACATGTCACCACCCGGTAAGAGAACCCTTTGTACCTGTGTGCAAACTGGATATTTTTCTAAGACTCATTTCTCTGAGCAGGCCATGAGGAAATCAGCCAAAAGATGCAACCCTATGGTTCCATGTATTTAAAAGGCTTAAAGGGGTCTTTAATTAAGTAGGGAAAATGGTGATTTATCCAGAGAAGACTATCTTTTATTTTGTTGGCACTGTGTCAAAAGAGATAAGGCCACCACTCAATATACTCAGTAGTAAAAAAGAAAAAGAAATTCCTAATTGCATCTTATTGGTCAGAAAAATACACAGCACAATTCTAGGAGTAAGTCATTTACCCCAGCCAACAAATACCACAGCCAAAATGGATAGTCTCTTTGTCTGTAAGCATTCAGGCTCACTGATACTCAAAGTTGTGATTTTAAGTATATTTGATAGGGTCTTCCCCATCTTTTAGAAAAGGAAACACACACATTCAAAACCCTTGGGAGGACTAGATTGAGAATATACTAACATAGTAATCACAAAAGGTGGTACAGGCATACCTCGTTTTATTGCATGCGGCTTTATCGCACTCTGCAGAGAAGGCATTTTCTACAAGACCTTCCACCAGCGAAAGGATGACTACTTGCAGGAGGCTCAGATGACAGTAAGCATTTTTTGGCCACAAGGTATTTTTCAGTGGCATGTACACTGCTTTTTAAGACATAGTGCTTGTGCACACCTAACAGCCTACAATAGAGTGTAGACATAACTTTTATGCACTGAGAAAACAAACATTCTTGGGTTGGACTGAGGCTGAACCTGCAGCATCACGAGGTATGCCTGTACCAGGAAGTCCTTTCCAGCAGTGAGTGACACCCCAGAACTGCACTAAATGCCCCTTGTCTTTCTCCCACCCTCAGGAAGACGCCTGCCGTTACCTTTCTGTTCGCTGCCACCCCATCCTCACAGTCAAGCACCGCACAGTCTACATTCAAGGTTGGAATCTTCTTTATTTTCTTCTCATCATTTCCAGGTATGTAGAGCACGGCCCTCCGGGGGGTGTACTTGTGAGCAGGAGAGGAACTGTAGCCACACCTGGACACGGCGGCTGGTGGAGGTGCCTTCCTGCAGGGGACATGACTAGGGTGAGTCGGAGTAGAATTTATTATATTTGTAATTTTAAAAAAACTTATTTTAATGCAGTTAAAATAGAAAACATGCATGATTTTTTTTCCCTACAGCAGACCATCCCTAACAATTAAGAAAACAATAGTAACCGAGATAACTGAGAAACAAAATGTCCTTATTGCTGAAGTTTACAAAATATACAACACTGTTTACTGATATTATCTTCTGAGGAAAGAAGGTGGGCATACCTATATATTTTTGGAAAAAAGTACTTCCAGGGTTAGTATAGTGTCAGGTAGCATTACAGAGAAAAAGGAAAGAGGTTTATATCAAATGACCTGAAGAAAACTGTATGTATATGTAGTGTGTGTATAAATATATGTGTGTGAAGGTTAAAAAATTCAATAATCTGGGTAAGCATTAGTCTACGGCTGTCCCCATCAACGAATCTTTCTAAGGAAGCAAATAAGTGATTCAAGTTCAACTTTCACAATAGATCAGGATGGCTGGCCACTTCTTAAGTGAGCAGAGAGGACAGTGAATGAGAAAAGACTATGATTACTAGCTTTGTAATTGTGGACAACTTAATTACTAGAAACTTCAGATTCTTCCTTTGTAAGACGAGTACTCATTTTACAGGTTGTTGGGGGGGATTAAGTTCACGGAATTACTGCACACGAAGCACTTAGCCAGAGCCTGGCAGAGAAGCGTGATGGTGGTAGGCGTAGAGAGAACAGCAGCTGCTGTTGTTATTAATGGAGACTCTTGCTGTCAGGAGCCCCTGCCTGCTCTGAAGCCCTGCTTTCTCCTTCCCTTCCCCACTGTACTGTTGGGGTGCAAAGAAAACCACCCTTTGCCCCTCTGGGTTCGTCTTAGGCTGAACGAGTTATTAAAACATTTATCATCAGCTAGATTAGCAAAGGAAAAATCAGTTTAACAGACATATGGAGCATTTACAAGGTTGTAAATTCTAAAGAATAATACAACAGAACAGGCATATTTTTTCCTGCATTTAGGGACCTAATCATCAAGAAGGTGGGGGGGCATTATAGGGGGACTAAACATGACAAAGAGGGGGTGACCTCATCTCTACTCTGAGAATAAAGATGAGATTCTCAGATAGAGTGGACATGTTCACTGACAAACGTACAACTGGATGAGATCCCCCAAAGTACATCCTTCCAGGGAGCAGCGATGGCTTCTCCAATCAAAAAAGGACCAGAAGCTTAGGGCATGACCGTCTCTTCTTTAATTAGGGAGGGGCCAAGGACTTAGCCATGGAATGAAGTTTCTAGTCTTCAGGGTCCTCACTGCTCTCCATACAGAACAATTGGCTCTCTTTGGGTAAAGGTTCCAGGCCCCAAGAATGGAGGATATTGAGTGGGCTCTAGAAGACAAAAGGCCATGCCAAGAAAGGTCTATTGACCCCCAAATGACTCAAGTTAGCCTCCCTGCAAACAGGAGGAGTGGGTTAGAAGTAGCTTTGGCTCAGCAGAGTCCTCACCCCTCACCCAGACCATAGTTCATGGTGCCGGAAAACCAGGTTCCCTGCCCCACCCAAGGACGGTGAGGCTGAGCATCAGGGAGAAGCTAGAAGAGAGTGGGAGGAGAAAAGGAAGAAGTGGAGAGAGAAGACTAAGAAGACTGGAAGAGGCACATGGAACAGAGAGACGTGTGAGGAAGCTGCACTGGCTTCTCAGCATTAGGCTTCCACCATGGACTGGGGGGACACAGAAGGCGACACTTGGAAGAGATGTGGGAGAAAGACCGGTTAGGAGGCTGACAGTGGCAGCCTTTATCCTGATTTTGCTCTTTTTCTTCTAGACGTGCTTGGCCCCTTCTGTGCCTCTCCTAGGGGTCCCCACCTGAAGGTGCCTTAGGCTTGGGGCAGGCTTTTGGCCTCCGTGGCCCTGCTTTGGGCCAGCCCTGTTTGGCTGGGCATTTACACACGAGGAGATGGGTAACTCTGGGTGTTTCTTGGGGAAACTATTTAATTATATTCTTTCTATTCTCTCTATTGCACGCTAATTTTGTTAAAGATCTCTTCCACTGACAGTCTTACACACTAAGAGTATGTATGTCTTGATGCAGCAAATGGCAGAACCCATTTAAAGTGCATAGGTTTGGGGGTCCAGTATAGACGATCAGCTATACTGAGTGCTAGAGCAAGCTGACTTTATATGACTGTTAGATTTTTAGACAATCCCTCACCCCCACACACAAAGAGTTAGTAGTGATAACAGGTAGGAAGTCATGTGTACTCCCTCTCTCCTTTTCTGCCCTGCACTTCAATCAATCCTAAGATATTGCTGTTTCTCCTAGGTGTATACCCTTTCCTTTGCATAAAGACAGTTCACATCCCAGTTTAGCTAGATGACTATGGAAGCCTCTTATTGATCCTGACTGCCCCACTTTCTTTCACTTGTCTGTTCATCCATCCATCCACCCACCCACCCACCCATCCATCCAGCCACCCATGCATCCATGCATCCATGCATGCATGCATCCATCCATCCTGCCATCCAGCCATCCTGCCATCTAGCCAGCCAGCCAGCCAAGGATTTAGTGAGCAATAGTAAGCCACCATTGAGTGTCCAGCACTTGGCTTGCACCAACACACATGGCATTCCCAGGCACCTTCCAGCAGATGGAGGCACGAAAAGGCAGCCCCTGCTGCTGCTACAACAAGCTCTGGTTAGCGGAGCTGAGCTGCAGCCCAACCTCCCCTCATGCCCCTCACCGGGCACCCCTGGTCAGAGCACACCCTCACAGCTGCTTGCAGTGGCCCTGCCCTGCACTGTGCTCAGCACCGCAGGGAGGTGGCACCAAAGAAACAGGACATGCCCAGAAGGTCCAGGGAGGAACACCCAGAAGAAAGGCCTGCAAGTTGGGTCAGGAAGGCCGAGGCCCTGAGAGCACGAAGCTGGAGAGGAAAGGTCAAGGATGGCACAAGTGTTTGGAATAATAAAAAGAAAGAAGATGTAGAGGGTGTTCGGGCTTCAGGTTCTGTTGCAGACTCTGAGGTCCGGGAAGGGGCTGACACTGGGCAGGTGGCAGGCGGCAGGCACCCGTCGAGGCATCCCTAAGCCTCCCTCCTCCCTGTGCAGCTGGCCTGTCCCCTCCTCCCCCCATCACCGGCTGTTTCAAAATCTGTTTCCTACGTGAGTTGTGCGAAGCACTGACTACCGCGTATGAATACAATTGCAGTAGGTGACAGATCTAACTTATTTTATTTTATCTTACATATTTGGAGTTAGGGCCTCTTGATAGTCAACATGTAAATGTATTCAAACAATATGCAAAACAGGGGCTTAAGATGAGTCGAAAAATCTGGTAGCCTTATGGTGAGTTCTCTCCACAGAGGGACCTTTTTCTAGACAAGACGCCCCTTGGTGGGCCCTGGGGTTCTTGTGGCTGGAGGGGGCCTCTCCTGGCCTTGTTTCGGGCCCTCATTCCTCCTCCAATGGTTGCATATGCTATTTCTGTTGCTCGAGGCAGGGCTGGTTCCTAACGCTGTAGGCCTCTCCACCTGAAGTCAACAGAGCCCACCCTCTTCTCGGGAGCGCCTTATAATCATCCAGTTCTGGACACCCAGTGCAATCAGATTAAAATCCCAGGTAACAGGGTTTAAGCTCAGGAATTTTTTAAAGTTCCTCTAGGTCCTTAAGCCCTCATGCCCCTTCGGAAGGTACTGCTTACAGACCAGCACCCTGCTCTCTTGTCTGTGCTCCTGTGAGCACCTCCACCTCTCAGGGAGCATGTGCCCCGTGGAAGCTTGTTAGAAATGCAGAGTCTGGGGCCCCAGCCTAGACCCACTGTATCAGAAGCTGCATATTAACAAGTCCCTAGGGGATGCTGAGCACATGTGTCTAAGAAACTGTTTGAGGTGGATGCAAACTTCAGGGCAAGCCTGAATCACCTGGGGAGATTTCAGACATGCTGACAATTTGGTACCACTGGTCTGGGGTGAGGCCCAAGCTCTGGGACTTCTTAGACTTGTTCTGGTCCTGCTGCGCAGCCAGGCTGGAAGGCCACTGCCCCATAACACCAGCAAGCCGCCACTGCCCCCAAGCAGGAAATTTTCCTTTAAAAGAGCTATGTGCTACCACTATACACAAGTGGATGCTGTACGAGTAATAAGATTGGAACTGAAAAGGCAGCAAACCTGAAAAGAATGCATGTCTAAAGAAGTCTTTCTGCTAAAAAAAAAAATTAACATTCAAACGCTAGCAATATTTGAAATAGCAGTGTAGGGTAAAGAAAATGTCAGGCTTTTCTGCCCTTCCGCCATCAGGATAGATGATGGATCCTTGTCCTGAATGCATGCCTGATGGCGGGCACCTGGAATAGGGTGTGGGCATAGGTAGATGGGATTCAGCTGAGCTAAGACTGTGCTTTTAAGGGCGGCGTCACGGGGTGATGCCAGCAGCCCCAGCCAGCAGCAGCAGAACCTGAAGGAGAAGCCGACGCAGAAGCAGAGAACGCCAGAGAGCCCAGATAGAGTAAAGACTTGCTGGGGGCTGGGAGGCCTGCCAGCCTCCCAGCCCCCCAGCCAGCACCCCTGCTTGCCATATGCCTGGTGAACCCCAATAAAAGACCTGCAAAACCACTGAGGACTCTGACTCCTCCTTTACCCGGTCTGCATGGGATCAGAAAACCTGCACCGTGTCCAAGTCCGGCCCTTACAAGCAGTAACGACCAACTAAGACGACGTCCACTTGAAGAACTACACTTTGGCATATGACTTTATAAGCAGAAATCCATGCTTTCTTCACTCAATGCCAACACAGAGAGCTCTCTACTTTGGCTGCATATTACAAACAGCTGGGGAACTTAGAAAAAGAGAAAGCCTCAGGCCATACCCCAAAGGGATTAAACCTGAGCCTTGCCGTGAGCTCTTAAAGCTTCCAGGGAGACTCAAAGTGGAGCCAAGGATGAGACCCTCCACAGCAGCATTTGCGAATACAACCCGTGTCCACGGTCCTAGAAAACACTGG